GTAGTATTAATATATATATATAAGTCTACATATCCATATCCCTCATGTGTCATGGTTAAGTAGTCTGCGGAGTAGATAGACGTACCGATGAGTTCTGGTCGTTTATTTGTGTAGGTTGGGGTTGTACACGAGGTATATACCTATAGATAGATACATGCATACTTGGGGAAATTTCACTAAACTGCTTGTATTTCATTTGGTCCGTAGAGGACTACCATTCACCGCATTGGAACTCCATCATGTGTCATTATGCGAAGGTAGGCAGAGGGGTGGGTTTACTGTAGGTAGTATTGCGCATTATATAGTCTGTAGTACAGTCCGAGTATCTGAACCCCAAAAGACTTTCAACTGAAACTCTTCCGATGCCGAGGTGACTACAATCACAGACAGGAGGGTTTTCTTGAAACTGAACGAATAAATGAACACCTATTTTTCATACGCGGAGCTCAAAAAAAAATAGACAGGTGGAGTTTTCGGAGATTAAACTAATAATTGAACCTCAATATCTGTCAAATGTGTGGCTCAAAAATAACAGACAGGAGGTTTTTCTTGAAATTATTAAGTCCGGCTATACGCCAAGAGAAAGCCGATAGTCTCCGCCACGGCGACATCGTCGAGCGCCACATGATTGACGGAGATCTCGTTCTGTTCAATCGACAGCCGTCGCTGCATAGGAACTCCATCATGTGTCATTATGCGAAGGTAGGCAGAGGGGTGGGTTTACTGTAGGTGTATATAATGGGGAGTTCATACGAGTTGGTGTACCATATGCTCCCCTCACTCTGTTTGGTTCATACGATTACAGACAAACAGCGTGCTCTTGCCAGGTGCGTACCTTGCGAAAGTGGGCAAATGGGCTGTCTGATCACTATCGGCAGGTCGTAGAGAGCCTGTATAAGCCGTGGTATACGCCCAATCATTACAGTTGACGACTTCGATTATGTCTTCACTAACAACCACACATATTGACATATTACACTCACCCCGCAACCACACCCCACCACTCCACAGGTGATGCCGTGGCGCACCTTCCGCTTCAACGAGTGTGTGTGTGGGCCATACAACGCTGATTTTGACGGCGATGAGATGAACATGCATTTGCCACAGACCGAAGAAGCGCGTGCGGAGGCGTTGGTGTTGATGGGCTCTAAAGCGAACATGTGCACAGCGCGCAATGGAGAGCCGCTGATTGCCGCGACGCAGGATTTCATTACAGCGTCGTATCTGGTGTCGCGCAAGGGCACGTTCTACGACAGGAGAGAATTTATCCAGTTGGTGACGTTCTTCAGCGAGGGCAAGTACGTTTATATGCACACACACATATATTAATATATTACTATATTATTATATCATTATATATATATATATATAATATCTATATCTATATCTATATATATATCTATATATATATATATATATATATATATATATAACTACATATATACTAT